AAAGTTTGTGAAAAGGTCAGCAAGTTGAAGTTTAACTGAAGTATTAAAAATGAATGGTTCATAAAAATAGTATGCTGTTTTATATCACTCTAGTCTGTGTTTATACTGAGCCAAACAGTCTGCAGTGATATATCAAACAGTTAAAATTACTTACCACAGCTACATCATTTTTTAACAATAGCACTTTTTCAAATGAAAATAAGCTTTGTATTTTTAGATATCCTATTTAAAGCATTTCTAAAATATTTCTGTTCCTTCTCTTAGTTTGATTATTTACAGTCATAACTCTCTTCTTAACGTTTTTATTTGAAAATACACAAAATTTTTCCTATGGGGATGCATCTCTTGTGCACAGGTAATTTTATGTTGGAAAGATGTGTACTCATAGGTATGTTAAAGGATCTAAATTGAGATATGTAAAAGTAGGACATGTAATAAAGAGATAAAAATTCATTGTTCTTTCGTACAGACACATACTACTTGCATATTGCTTTGCTTTTTGAAATTCCCCTAAGCAACCATTGTGCAGATGAGTAAACCTGAAGCCAGAACACCATCTTATTTGTAAAAAGAAAAGGGAAGAGAGGGGAATGGAAAAGAAATGCATCTTTGTCATGATGATGCTTTTGGGGATTCTACCTCTGAATTAACTGAATTCCAAGCTTTTAAAACTCTTATTTCAATATGCTCTTATTTTTTAATGCTTTTCTCTCATTTAACGGTATTTTGTGAAAAGGCATGCTAGTACATGGGGGCAGCTTTACCTTTTGGCAACATGTAGTGTAGTTGTCTGGAAGGATGATCTGTGTGTAGGATGAATGTTAGCATTACTGAGTTTATAAAATTATATTTCAGAGAATGAATTTGCTTACTGCGACATTGCAATTTACAGTTAAATTAAAAATAAAGTACTATCATCGGAAGTTAATAAGAAAGAATGTTACATACGCAAATGATCAGAAAGAATCAGAATTGAAACTAAGAAGAACATGTAACTGTTGAATATTTTGAGCCTTTGAAAAGGGATACCATGAACTGGAAAAATTTGCTGCTCTCTGATAACTGACAGCTATTGAAAAAAAAATCTAGGAATAATAAAACTGAGAGATTTGATGGGAGGGAAGGAGGGTAAACATGCTGTTTGCTTTTTATTTTGCATATGTATTCATTTGTCATTATGGTGATTTGTAATTACTGTTCCATTGATTAGCATAGTAGCATTTTTATGCACTGCTTTAGGGGGCACCTTGTGTCCTTTCTTTGCCTCCGAAAGGCGGACTTACCTAGATCAGGAACTGCATTATCTCATAACGAGTAGGTAGGAGGCTGAAATGTGTGTATGGAAGAAAAAGACAGCAAAAGTAGACATCAGCATGTTTAGTGATGTTCTGTTCAGAAGATGTCTCTCAAGAAGAGAAACTGAATTCCATAAAAGATTAAGTATTATTTAAAGGAGGATGCATCTTAATTGTTAAAGGTAATTTAAAAGTTAAAGTTTATTGAGCATAGAGGTAGATGTACGTGTTACGACAGCCCTTAAAGCCTGTGTTGACAGCACTTATTTGAAACTGGATACCACAGGTACATACAATGAGCAGCTACCATAGAGTAGCAAACATGTTGAAGTTGCGCATCCTAGTGTATCCCATGGTAATTTGTTTAGACTGTCTTTAAGAATGCAAAACCATTCATCTGTTTTTCGTAATGGATTTTTGCATGAAATCTGCATGTCTAATCACCAGTTTTACACACACACACACACACACACACACACACACAAACCCTGACACTGCCACCTACTACTCCCATCCTGGGGAAAAAATTTGAACTAAAAATGAAAGAAGTATTTGTTTTTTTTCTTACTCTCCAAAAGCTACAGATCTTTTCTGCCTGTAGAATTTTGCATCTGAGAATTCATAAATGAATTTGCTTATCTGCTAATTGCAAGGATTCCAGCGTATATGACTGTTCTATACATCATACCTCCTCCTCTGTTTTGCTTTAAAAATAAAATTCAGCTTGTAGTGTGTCAGTATCTACCATCTGTTCGTTTCAAGTAATAGTAGTCACTTCTCAGGATGTTTGTGGTTTGTTTTTTGTTTCAGGCAAGGAATTAGGATTTTTTTTTTTCAAAAGGTATAAAAATCTCTATGTATAACATAAGATAGCAACTCCATTAGATAACATCTCCATGTAATCTCACACTCATAACTATAAAACTACTTTCCAAGTCATTGCATACATATGCTTCAGCTGTTTATTTTAGAAAAGTGTTAATAGTTAAAAAATGTGACATACTCTTTTCTGCTTATTGAGCAGTTTTTAGTAGTTAGTTCACAGCTTGGTTAAACATATTTTTCAGATCTTTCTCTGGGAGAGCGATGACTTGTTAAAGACAGTAAAAGGGTATTTTGTTAATGATGCTGTGTTGCCTCAGGGCTTCTGCTGGTCAGCTGGAGAAGCCAGAATCTCTCGCTCCCCATCCTTTGATGAACGGCTGAGCTTTGCCTTTTCTAGCAATGGCAGATGAGATACTGGGCAGCCTGTGTTGATGCTTGTGCGCTTCAAAAGCTCAGGAATGAACTAATTGCCAGCTACAGGGCTCTTTGAGGGATACAAGCCACTTAGTAAGACCATCTAGGTGGTTTAAGCTAAAATCTCCACTGTTGCTGGGACTGAGGACACTTAGTGATGTCCTTTATATGAATGATTCTTTTACTATCTTCCTCTATACGTGAAAAATTATTTGTGTCTTTGTTATTTCTTCTTTTGGGGGAAGGGAGTGGAGAACAGGCACTGATCTGTATGTCCACCAGTATTTCAGCATCATCCGAGAAACTTTCTAGCTTTTGTGTGCTCAGTTCCCAGAATGGATGGTCTGTGGACTGTTCTGGATTACATATTAGTCAGGTATTATCGCCTTTTAATTATAGGGATAAGGTTCAGTGTCTTATATGGGTATTTCTAGTTCTATCCAAGACTATCTAGTTCTAAACTAGATATGTGGATCTCATTTATTTTAAAACCAAAGTTTACAGTTTGCTTTAAAAGCTTTAATTCGCTTTAAAGCTTTTGAATTTACTTTTCTGAAACCTCATGTATTGGCTTAGAAACTAACTGTAATTCTATCAAAAAATCTGGTTCACTACATATACTAAAGTGTCATTGGATATGTGATATATTGGTTATCTCTGAATTCATTCCTGAGTGTATAGACTGAGAGGAGTTGCACAGCTTTTTGAAAGCCAGTTGTTTGCTTACTGTTTATTAAACCTTGATTTATTTATTCCTTTGTAAATATTTATTTCTTATGAATTCTTACTGAATCAAGTAAGTAACCTATTACCCCCAACCTATAACCCTATTACCCCTCATGCTTACAGTTTTCTGTAATGTGATATTTATTTACAATGTTTTAAATTAATTACCTACAAACATTACATAACCGGAATGATAATGCTTATTTTTTATAATTGCATACTTTGTGTTTTGATGTTGAAAAACATTTATAAGAGACTGTTGACGTGTTTTAAAAATTTAAGACCTGTTATTTTTCTATAACAGGCTATCTTTTTATTAAAGTTGACTTAACCCAGATTTGCAACATCCCAGTCAGTCTGTGCACCACATTTTCTTGCACCAGTTAGGGTTTTTTTTTTTTACTTTTAATTGCTGTATTGATATTGTTGCTAGATCATAGAACACAATGACCCTTTGTTTCTAAGAGAACTTTTACTAAAATGACAACTATTAAAATAAAAGTTATTGATACTGTGTTTCTGTATGTGCACGAAGTGTGGGAAAAAGTAATACTGTAAAGTAACTTTCTTCCTGCTGTCTACATGTTTTGACAATAGAATTATGTATGTAGCTATCAAAAAAAAAGTCATGTCACTCTTTTGCAAGTGTATGGAGAGACAGATGTAGCCATTAGATATGTACTGTTTGCAGAATAAAATTCATTCCTTAATGATTCCATTGTGAATTAGCCTCTCAACTTTATGAGGATATTACATTGCTCAGTTTCACCAGGATATTGTTTTATATTTGACCTAGAAAAAGAATCTTGCTGGAGTATCACTTTTCAAAAAGCCTGTTTCAGAAATTAAAAGATTTGTATGCAGTTCGAACTTGCCTTCTTTAGCCAATGCAATAGTTAAATAGTATTTCCCTCATTGGCATAATATCTAAATATATAAGTACGCAGAAATAAGAGGGCTTGAGTCACGCTAGGTTTCCTCTGAAAAAATATTACCTGAATATTTGCAGAATGCCTCTGTTACAGCGTAATAACATGTACCCTGCTTTATATAATTAGATTTTTCCACTGCATCAGGATATCATATTGCTACAAAAAATACAAAACATGCATTCTTCTAATTTTAATAAAACCTTACAACTAATTCCCTGCATCTGTTTTTGTCTGAATACAATAAAACAGGTTTCATGCCCCAACTTTCTAATTATTACCCTAATATACACGTGCTAAGTCTTACCTCAGTTTAACCTCAGTGCATTTAATGGCACTAGCTTTAGATGCAAACAGATAATTAAAAACTTTCTTGTCACCTAATTTCACATTCTTCTTTTACCACTTACAATTTCACTTTACGATTTAAGAATCTCTTACAGCTGTTTTCAGAAATATGTGGATAAAGTGTAATTTTCTGGCATTCTAAAAATGACCCATTCAAACAAAAGAAATGAGATCATTTATTTGGGCTGTGTATTGACACATTGCTCCCCCCATTTTCGCTACAAAGCTACTGCTGACGGAAGAAGTTAAAATATCTTAAATGCAAAATATCTCACCTACATAAAAAAAATATCTAAATATTCCCATATCACCTGGAAATTTTGTTTTCAACCACATTGCTAAGCCTAGGATGAATTAACATCCTACTATTGTAGTAATTCTCCATATAGTACAAAATGCACTGATGTTTCTATTATGATTACTTTGTGAAGCATTTACTTTTGTTTTATTTTGCTATTAAGTAACAAACTAACCTATGGTTTATTTTGGTTTATTTACTTTATCCATAAACATGACTGTTATATTGCTAGGAAAACTAAATACAATTACAATTACTGATATGAGATCCAAGTTTCTATCAATGCTTTTATTTTTGCTTAAAGAAAAAAACTACAAACAAGTAGGAAACTAACCTATGTAAGGTAATAGTTCCTGATCCCTCTATTTTAATCGATATTTGAAAATTGTTTTATTACAGCATATATGAAACAACTTTATTCAGCAGTGCTACTGAGAAGGTACAGAAGAAACCAGATGTAATGTATAAAGTAAAGAGAGATGGAGATTTTTTTTTCTCCGTCTTAGAATATCCAAAGTCCGTGTGCTAAAGTATATATTTTGATTTGAAAACGTAAGAAACCCAGAACAATATTTGAGAAGTTAAATACAAAACAGTAGTAAATATGCAAAATACAGTTGACAAGCAGAGCAATGAGGCACAAGAAATAATAGTTGATTTTAAAAACGTAATTCTTTGTAATGCTTAGCTTTCCCCCTTCCCTTATGTGTAACGTAGTGTTGTCTAAAAAGTATAGATGTACAACACAGTGAGGTGGCATAGCCTTACATAGTATAGACTGATTTTAATTACCAATGCATCAAAAATGAAGTGACACCGGAAGGCCTGATATCTGCATGAATATGTACTAACCATACTGTGTTTGAGGAAAATGAGGTTACAAAACAGTTTTATGATATACAGTACTTCTTCAGTGAGAGAACTTGTCAAAAATGAATACATCCTCCTTCAGCACAAATTTCTTGACAATTTCCAACAGTAACATGAAAATTGAAATTACAGTACAACTGATAACACCGAGTGTTACTCTGGTTAAATACACATGTGTATTTAAATACATCTGTGTGCAGATATCGGGCATTTCACTGTGTTCCAGAAAAGATGCTTCACCCTGATGTACTTATTCAAAAGTTTGTTATAAACCATTGAGATGGAGGTGTTGATATATTTGATTTATCCATGAGTATCAGTACTCCAAAAAGAACAGATCAAAACTAAACACTCTACATAGGACCAATAGAGCAGAATTATTCAAGTTCACTAGAATATTACAAAAAAAGGCTTCCTTCTTAGGAAAACTCAGCTATGGTAAAAATATCTACTACAGTGCACTGCACTGTAATAAATATTCAACATAAATTAATAATTTACAAGTACCTGAGCAAGTATACAGAGCACCATAGCACAGCACAGCACCAAAGGCAGTAGCTCAGAATTCTTAAAAATAATGCTGTTTTAAACATTAAAAATTCTAAGTATTATCATAAAAATGAACTCCAGCTGGAGTTTAAAGATAGTGCAAACTTCTGTCTTCACTTTTAAAAATAAAGGTGTCAGATTTTCTCCTCATTTCACATCAGCAGTGTTGCTGGACCTGGGTACAAGTGGGGGATGTTTAGGAGCAGGTCTGTTGGAAAGAAAGAAAACACCAAATTGTTAAACTTCTCAAGTGGGAGCAGCAGGCTGCTTTTGCTACTCTCAAACCTGTCAGTTCATGCGTTAATTGCTGTCTGGCCAGCAGAATAAGATAGCTCAATGTTTCACGTGTTGCTCTTTGAACTCTTCAGTTTGATAGATGCTCATCAGTTTTGCAGCCCTTCAAAAATGCTACTTGATCCTGTAGAGTAGCAATCAGTTTAAAGTAGTATAGGTAGCCAGCTTGAAATGTTACTGCTGTCAGAATATCTCATTTGAGTGTATTGAATTCAAAGTGAGGAACTTGATCACCCTTGTGGTCTTTTTACTAGAAGTATTAAGAAACTAACTCGATTCTATTTTTAATTTTTCTGAGCAGTGTTAAGTGCTTAACAGACTACTCTGATCTTCCTTGGAGCTCATTTTTTATTCATTGGAAACTGAAGACCATTGGGTGAGAATGTAAGAATGACCTCAACATCTTTTTTTTTAAAGCAATTAGCATCCCTGCGTAAACCACAGGTAACAGTATTGCAGCTAAGCCAGCATCAAAGTCAGAAATTTTAGATCCACAGAGAATTGCATGAAAATCCTAGGAGGAACTCTTCAAAGATTAGATATTTGTTTGCAGAGGAATTGGGAAATGGTGTGGCTCAGTAATTAGATTCTTATTGTACAATTGGTATGGTCCTGGGAAAACCAATTTTAAAATGTCTCAGCATATCAAATACCCAGTTAACAGAAATGGGGAATGATCTCAGCTACTAAAAAGAGTTGGAAGGAAATCTTTTAACTCGCTAGCAGCACTTGCTCAATAAGGGGGCAATCCTATCTTCCTCATAGTACAATATCATTGTACAACATTACTGTAAGATAGTGTTCAGTCAGCTGGATATCCAAAGACGTACCGTAAAAGAAGTTGTGATAGGAACATTAGAGCTTTTTGTGATAGGAACATTAGAGCTTTTTGTACTACTGAGAAGTGCAATCTGCACTGTGATCTCAGCTAAACTCTTTGTCTCTTACATATATTTATATAGGGACTGTACATACTTTAGAAAGCATCTTGTCACACAGTTTTCATCATATAAAGTATCTGGATTGCACTGATAGACAGCATTTTTGTTTAGTGGTCAATGTTCATGTTTTGTATCCAAAAGGCCACAATTCTTCTTGCATTTATGATGGAACAGGCTTACTGAAAGTCTTTGCTCTTAGTGTTTAAAGTTATTTATCCATCATCTTACTCACTGTGTGTTCTGATATATACACACATACACACACACACACACATGCGAACACATTCTTTTTAATATCATGAGATTTCTGCATTCTTCATCCTTTTATCTTTAGTGATGCTGTACTTCTGTGCCATTACCGAATGGATTGCTTTCTGATAATGCTGAAACATAAAATAATGGCAAATATTCTTTATAAGCAATTCCTGCCATTAAAACATTTTTGATTTGGTGAAGTAATCCATGTACAGACTTTACTGCATACAGTCTTGCATGCGCTGTGGAGAAAACCTGTAGATCAGTCTTGATTATACTTTTATAGTCTGCTCCTCCAGTGCAGATAGTTACTTCACTTCAACATTGACTTTAACCATCCCTTTTTGGAAGTGTACAGTTTGTGTTTTCTGAATATTTTGGGTTATATTTTCAGATGATATAAATTGATGTTCTTCCATTGTGAAGTGCGAGGACAGAAAATTGCTTTTATTGATGGCTGATAGTCAGACAGTCTAATTTCTGTAGGTCTCCTGAGTAGTTAAGTGTTTTCCTGAAATAGCCTTGTTTCTCTTGAAAATGGTGCTTATTAACTCCTTTCTTTTGCAAGGAGTTGTATTTATTGAGCAGTTTGTGTAAACATAAAGTCAGTTAGCTGCTCAGAGCCAAACTTTTGTGTCTAGCATAAATTCTCATAGTTCTGTGGAAGTTAGTGCAATTATGTTGATATACTCTCACTGAGAATCAGTCCAATACTGCGTATTTTTTACGAGCATACAGAAGATGTTCGTGGTGTAGCTCTTGGCAGTAGTTACAGCGTAATCTCTTTATGTGTACGCAATTAGAATAAAGTTCCTTCTTTTTCCTAAAGATATAAGGTTTATATATCCCTCTCTGTCTGTCCTTATCTGTGTGTCGGTTTTGGCTCAGTAGTTAATTTCAACAAAAGTTCAACAAAATTTGACAAAACGATAGCTAGCTGCCTAATCGATACTCTGCCCCCATATGTTTCACGGGAATACGTGGGCTGGGAAAATCAGAGCAACTGAATGTGTCCGTTGTTTCATGAGCTCATCCTTTGTTAGACATCAGAGAATTTGCATTTAATCCAATTTATGACAGAAACTTGAAAACCAAGCTTTGGTTTCACTGGCTGCAGAACAGTTCAGTACTTGCTGTATGACAACAGCATGCTAATTTGTTTATGCAGGTGAGGGAGGGAATTTGAATTCTTATTTGAATTATTAAAATTATTACGCTAAACGGATGCTGCTTTTCTCCCAAGAGTATAGCAGGTCTGCTCTAAGATATTTTATACTTCTCATTGAAGAAGTTGCTTTAAATCAAACCAAAGATTTTGATTAGCAGAACTAACCTTACTGGAGTAATTTGAGGCAGAGCTTTTGTCTGTCCAGGCCCTGGTGTGCATGCACTGTTGTTACGGGTTTTGTTCAGAGGATCTGCAGGTAAAGGCTTCCGAGGCGGGTTTGGTTTGTGGGTTTCCTGTTGTACAACATAAGGTCATATTAATCTTTATAATTGACATAACAGTCATCATAGTAACAACTGAGTTATGTCAAAGATAAGTTCAGCGTAGTTGTGGCTAGACACATTTAAATGAGTAAACCTTAACATATTTTTAATAAACAGGTATCTGCATGTTAAAATAAAGGTTTGAGGGTGTATTTTAGTGGTGTTAATTCTTTTTATTCTTTATTTCATAAATATTGGGTGCATCTATGTTACAGTTAATGATTAATTGGTGGTAAATGGAGGAAAACATAGATTGAATACCTAAAATTGTAAAAGAGATTATATAGAAAGGTGGAAATCCTAGAACTGACTGTAAAATGCAAATGTAGATGACCACAGAATAAAACTGCTTCAGTGTGATTTGAACTGGGAGTATTTGTGGAATTTTTTTTTTTAGAGATGCAGCTGTGCTTTCATTCTGTGGAATTTAATGACTCATTAATAAGGAGCAAAAGTCATCTGCCGTCAGGCACGGGCTTCTGTGTGGTCCTTGAAACACTGCAAACATACTAACATAAAATTTTATTGATCTTAGAAAAAAGAGAGGAAGGGAGAAAGACATGCCTATTTGTTAGTTAATAAAAAAGATTTTGTTTGCAAAATGAGCAAGATGCCAAATTTCAAAAAGTATTCTAGACTGAAAAAGTCTAAGTAGTAATGATTTTCATTTAACCTGAAATTTAACCAACTACATAGCTCATTAAACTAGGGTGGTTTGCCCCAGAAAATCAGCCTCTGTATTAAAAATCTTTGTAGGGAGATAATTAAGCTGCCTGTCTCGCTCACTGCTGTAATAGCAGATCAACTATGCCAACACTGTGGAAAAATTTTCATTATGAAGAACTGGGACAGATTCAATGACTTGCTCGAGTCACATAGACTCTGTGATGTATCTAGAAACTTTTTTCAGATCCCTCTACTCTTTGAAGTCATGCTTTCGCTAAACAAAACAATAAATCAGACTAATTTTCTCTTTACTAATAAGGGTATGGCAAACTAATAGTCAAGTTGACCAAAGAGAAACAAGAAGAGCTTGCCAGTGTAATTTAGTTGAGGCCTCCCCAAATGATTTAATCAAACAAGCAGCCTGATGCATGAATTACTCATGAATACAGCACAACTTTTCAGTACTCTTTGTGAGCATTTCTTTGTGTTCTTACTTCTCGTGGCCAACATTTGCTCTTTCAAAAAGGAAGCGCAGCTTGACTATCAGGTGGCATTTTGATAAAGGCTTCACTATGAGTTCTCTCTGCTTCTTCCCAGCCCCTTCTTTTTTTTTTCTCTACAGAGCTTCAGTTCTTCGGCACAAAGAATTTATGGATGGATTTCTTTGTCCAATTTTATATCAGCAACAGCGTTCAATGCACCCGGCCTCTGTATCTGGAGGAGTACTCTTTTCACTGTTGGCATTAACTCTTTTTACAACTAGAAGAAAGAAAAATGCTAGAAAGAAAAATGTAACTCTCGTAATATTGAGCTGCTACAAAGACCTCAGGAATATCACGTTTTAATTTGCTTCATGGGTATGTTTCGAATAAGCACCTCAAAGAAGGGTCTTGCCTGACATGCATTGGGCAAGAAGGGGTATCTTCCTCAATCCACTGAGGGAGGAACTTAACAGGATTACTTGTGTTAGCCCACTGAGAGGAAAGCCAGCCTGAGGTGACATACCACTCAAAGGAGAGGTATGAACAAGAATTACTGTGGTAGAGCAAGCAGAAGGTGAACTTAGCTCAGGGTCAGTATGGAAAAGTGAAAATATCAAGCTGTATTTCCCACGCTAAAGATGACCTGTAAAATATGAGCTACTTTTTAGTGATGATGACAGTATCAGAGGCTGCAGTTGAATACAAACAGTAAGAGAAGAACAAGTAAAGGTGATTAAATCCGAGTATATGGACAGAATCCCTGGTTAGTATAAACTTGCAGTGTTTCACTGATTTCAATTGTGCTGTGCTGATTTGTATTGACCGTGAATCTGGCGCTTAAGTACCTGTTTGCTCTGTGAGCACAGCTGAAAGAAGAAAAAGCTGTTTGGCAGTCAAAAGACTTACATATTAAACCTGACAGCAGTTTATTTGCTAGCTGTCCTTTCAGATGTGAGTAAAACAGAAAATGTATGGTAAAATAATAATCCATTCACTGCTGTCTCAACAGCCACTAGAAGGGACAAGATGTGTTTTTACAGTCTACAATGTATGCTGTGCCTTAGCTAGCTGGGAACGTGCATGGCATTCCTTCTGCCTGTGCTTAACTACTAGTTCAGGAGAATATTGGTACAGTCAAAGATTGCAAGCCAAGGACTACTCTAAGTCCAGAGGCCAGCAGGTAAGGCAAGTAGCTTATGTTTAAATATACCTCTCAGAATGGAGAAGCATGAAACTGTAGAAATAGTGAATGGCTTCAGATGCTCTTCTTCAGCACTGTACTGCAGTACTGAGCATCTGGATGACATTAAGAGTGTGGCAATGATCTCGAAAGTGCTTTCTATAGATGACCTGGTGAATTTAGTTCCAAGAGATTAGTGTTGAGGCAATAATTTAAGCAGTATCCATATAAACAAGACCAAAAATATTCTAAAGGTAATTTACTTCCTCCAAGTTTTGGGGGAGGGGGTGTAAAAGAGCTAAACTGTGAAGAAAAGGTCTTCTGCTAATACAATATTTGTTGTGTTTCTAGAGTATGAAAAGTAGCTATTTCTCACAATCTTGAATTGACATTATGGGCAGAATTTCAAAAGCAGCTACTTCTGCTTCTTCACTAATGGCAGCTCACTAGAGTTGATGCCCTGTTTGTCCTGCTTCTGATTCACACCGTGACTGAAAATTGAAAATATCAGTATTTTGCCTGATTGTATAACAGCCACAATTAACTTGAGCAGTTAGGCTGAAAGGCCCTTGGGCAGTTTCAGATCTGTCACTCTTTGGTAGTGACAGTACTAGAGGTCTGGTATTCTGCTTTCCCCTTCACGTGGGATTTGAAGGGGAAGGCAGTTAGCAATATGGCTTGTAGCGCTGCGTGAGGCTGCTTTCACATGCAATGACACGCGGGGCAGATACAGATGTACCATCAAAATGAAAAATGGTAATGTGTTCTTGAAAAGCCTCTTCTTCATCTGCCTTCTGCTAGTGGGAGATGGCAGAAGCTGGTAAGTGGCTAGTTGAGAAGAATTCTTTCCTTTTTTTTTTTCCTTAAAGAACTATTAAATTAAGAAACTGAAGAGTAGCTATACTTGAAAACGCCTATCTTGACCAAGGTGAAATATGCAAAAATGTTTTAAGGACTGTGAGAAAAGAAACAATGAAACCCTTGGAGTTAAAGACAAAATAACAGTACTAATTTGGATTTCCTATAAAACTGATTTTAGAAAGAATCAATATTTCCCATTCCCCTGGAATGGAAAAAAAAAAGACTAGCAAGATGGAAAAGGGAAGAAGGAAAAGCTTAAATAATTTGAATGCAAATAATAAACTGTCCACCCTTAGAAAAGTTGATCTCATCTAAGTCATTCAATGTTCAGACTTAGTCAAAACTAAAACTAGATATACTTTCTCTGCTGTCATAATATTTATGCACACTGTCATGGCAGCTTAGCACTGTCTCACCCCTTTTTGTTTTGTTTGTCTTTTCATAGCCACCTTTCAAAGCATTGCAGTTCAGCAACGTTTATCATAGTCACATCCTCCTATAAATCATTGGGAAAGTGTGACAGACTGCTGCAGAAGGAAGGTGCTCTGCCCTCAGACAGCCTAGCCTGAGGATGTATACGGATAGTCACAGTCACTCAAGGCACAGCTGTTTGAGTATGGATTTGTAGCATGCGCAAGCAAGCCAATATGCTACTCATTTAAGAAAGCCTGGCAATAATGACATACACGTATTTATAATCTTGTATTATATCTAAAATAGCATGATGTCAGTAAATCAGAAATAGCTGGATGCCTGACCACTGCTCCTTTGCTAAGATACGGTCATGCTACAAATGCAACCAATGACAAGAAAAGGGACAATTTAGTATAGACAACTGCACCTACACTGAATATCACCTGAAGATGTATCTTATTAAAAAAAAAAAAAAAGTCCCAAGCTCTATTTAAACTTTGCAACCAGAGGTATGTCTGCCTGAAATACTGTGGGCAATTACAAGTTTGTTCTTCAGATCTGTGCTCTGGTGGGAAGGGGGAAAAAAAAAAATCAATGTATACACCCTCAGCAGAACAGAACCAAGTCAAGCTAGTACACCATATTTGGCACCTTGCTAGCGCAGGCCCTGTGGTTCACCCTCAGGGTGGACAGCAGGCAAGATGAGCTTGTGGTTGCCTTAACACACAGTATAAACAAGTTCCATATCATAGCTTTTCACTGGAGCAAAGAGATTTCAGGATCCTAAACTTTAGGATCATAGCCTCAGTTGGCATAAACCAATATAACTCCCTGAGCAAGATGGGAACTTAAGTTAGCTTTGTTAAATCATCTATGCCACATTACTAATGTACCAAGTACACAGGAAAGACTACGGAAAAAGGCCGGTATGAAAGATGAGAACACACTTTGTTCTTAGTCGTCACATGCACATATTCAAACACTAAACGTTAAACAGAAGAGGAGCTAAAAGAAAATCAATGGTTACCTGGGCAAACCTAAGTGAAGGGTTAGCTGGCAAGGGCCTTTCAGGCACAGTCGGATGACATGGCAGCTGGGGAAGGGGTGGTAGGACTCGCTGTGGAGTTTTTAGTTGTGGTAAATCCTGTGTCTTCACAGGGTTACTAATGTCAACGATCTGATACGGCAGCGATCTTCTCGGACCGTCTCTCTGTAAAAAGAGCCCGACCCCCAACCAATAGTTAAAAGTGTCAAGAGATAATTTAAACATTACTGCTTTAAAATCTACGCTTTTTCACTGTCTTTCTCTTCTGCTCTGCTTTAATCTACCTTCAACACCTCCTCTGTAAAGAGAGAAGCAATTAACAGCTTCCAGAGTCCTATGCAAGCACGAATCCATCACTGTTTAGCTGCAGTATTCCAGTGTAAGCTGGCTGGCTGGATCTCAAAGACTAAACTCTGTCTTTTCTGTGCAGGACATCTCCACCTACCTGAAACTTGGAAACCATAAATGTATTTTGAGTCCTACATATGCTCCCATTTTACATGTGTACATTATAATGATATCATGTAATAACTGTATTATAATAATTTACTTCAATGACATTGAAAATAGGTAGTAGGCCCTTTTCTATATTATTTAGAGACTCACCTTTTGTATGTTTGTATTTTGTGGCTTCACAATCAGATTTTTACTGAGGGATGTGGTATGAACATGGTTAGGCTCAGATGAACTGGAAGGTCTTGCTGGACTCACAGACCTGCAATACAGTACATTTTTACCGAACACAGCACTCTGCTTTATAATTTTTTTTTTTAAATAGTAACCTCTTTTCAGAGTGAGATTTTGCAAGGGCTTTCTGACTTTTTATAGTAAACAAGGAAAGTAAAAATTGTCTAGCACGCTGCCAAACTAAAAATAAATATTGATTTTTTGGAAACCACTAGTCTGTTAAATTAGCTTTTGCAATCTGTGGAAATGCAGCTTTGTAACACCCAAGAGACTATTCTAATGAATCTAACATTTAAACAGTAATGACCTCAAATATGGAAGTTTCAGCTCACTCAGCTGAGTTTAGATAAAAGGCCATGCCACATAATGAAACTATTTCAAGCAAATGAAATAAAGGCAATATTTCCTTTACTTTTTAATTTCTTGTCACAAAAGAAGCGAGATATGTAGTCAAAAAGTGCATTATTTACTGCCAATCGATAAAGTTAAACTAAAGCAGAAAACCACTGCTGATAAACCTCAGTGACTACTTTCATTAAGGCTGGCTCTTCGTAACTCCTCATATTCACACCAGTCTGCCATGCATGTGCAAGATGGGAGTTGCCACGTTTACAGCTATTTTCTACTAATCAGTATTAGACTATAATTGAGGAAAATGATCAAACCTTAGTTTCTCTATTGTTGTCTTTTTACTTGTAAACAGCAATCTTGTGAAAGTCTTCCTTTTCAGATACATGATTGACCCAGCAAAAATAAGGCACAGAGTCGTTATCAACACTCCTATGGTTAAACTCTTATTATCTGAAACAGAACACATTTAGTTAGCCGAAATGTGTTGTGTATATGGAGCAGGACATTGCTGTCTTGCCTCGGTTTCTAACTGCAACACAAGTAAAGTGAGTAAACCATGTATTAAAGATTAACAAAATGGTATTTCTTTAGCATGACACTTGACTTTTAGTTAGTCTTTGAGTCATTTCCTTAATAGTGGGAAAAAAATCAGTTAAAATATAAATATGATCAGAGAGCCCCAGTCTGCAGGTCCTGCATAGATGGTCAGCTGCAAAGGGGGCCATCACGTGCATAGACTGCCCGCCTCATCCAGACCCCTGCGGGGTGACAACCGCAGCAGTGCCAGCTGGCACCGTCTTCGTGGGTTGCCCGCTTCCAAGGTGCGAGGGAAAAAGAGGCCGAGGGAGAGAAAACAGACAGAAACACACAGAGCCTGGTGTACATTAAGTGCAAGATTTTTAAATATTCTGTTCCCCCAAACATAAGCAGCAACTCTTGCTCCTTTATAACCAGATATTAAGGGCTTTCATTGCATTTTAACACCTGGCAAACATTCTGAAATTCGGATTATTGTGGCCAAACCCAGGTGACTGTCAAGGCTAATCTGGAGGCAAGCAAGGACCCAAAAGAATGCCTTGAGCAGTGGCGTCGTAGGCTGTCAAAGGGGTATACCGCTTAACAAGGGACTGCAGCCGTCTGTACTCACGTCACTTTTCAGAGTGCCTTCAGTTACTTTTAGTAAAAGCACATTGCTGGGACCTAAGTGAGACACAATAAAGACGTGAACCCTGACTACGAGGCTTGCAGCTCAAAGTCTTATTTTTAGAAAGAGGTAAGAAGCAGCTCTGATACTCATGGATATGTGATATGATCACTGCCTGGAGCTGAGGATGTTATGTTTCTTCAGGACTGCAGACCTAAAAAAATGCACACATCCACAGTAGGAGGTACCTCGTTAATCTTTGCTCTGGTAACCTATCATCACTGTCTCAGCCTTATCCTGATTGAATTTCAGCCAACTGGCTTTAATCTCTTGGCCTAACCTCACTCAGATGCTGGTGAACGGAGTCAGTATCATTGACTTAAAAAAACTACATTCAGAGCTTGATGGGGCAGGAAATGCTAGGCTTTTTAATCTTACAGTATTGCAGAATAGTAAATCCTTCACTATTCCTAAATGATTAATAAAATTATTTAACTGAGCTTGTGCCATTGAAATTAATCTATCTTTACCTAGCAATTAAATATTTAAGGCTTCTTAATAAGAAAAATGTAGAGTGTCAAACACATGGGTTTACTGGAAGTCAGATGGGTAAAATCAGTTACTAAATACTAATGCAACCATGTGCCACGTTTGACTAAGACGAATGTATTTTATTGAGCTAATCCTTCCGCACGTTGATGTACAGAATAGGGATGTGCAAAATATTCAGATCATAATCCAAACCACCCCATCAAGTGTTCATGTTTAAATCCAAGTGTCAGGGAACGAAAATTAGGTACTCTAGCAATTTCCATAATTGTTTATTTCCAGTGAGGGTGGCAATGCCTTTATAGCTATGTGGTAAAACTACCACACCATATTAAACTGTTTCAGAAATAGTTTTCCGTAACATTGAGGTGTTGGCTTCCAAAACATAACATGCACAAGTTATTGTTACATTTGTCTTCTCCAGCTGAAGCTGTCTGTGCAGCACAATGTAATGATATACTTGGCAGTTCCCTAAATACTTGGATACAGGTAAACTGAAAAAGGATTATAATGCTTTGGAGCAAATCTTAAAAGAAAACATTTAACACATAAGCTGTCACACTTGTTCAGTTTCTGAGCACTGGTCGTTGCTATCTTACCAGCTGGCAGGAATTTAAAAAAGATCTTTCAACAGTGAAATCGTAATGTGCAGTGTTGTCGTGGAAATGATTGTGAGGCAGTAAGTTCAGCACTGCAATTCACTGTAGGTTCTACCACGTAGCGTATACAATCCTTCCTGGTTTTAATGGCATTATTCATATGAAAACAATTCATTTCCCAGCAAATTTTAGGTTATATGTGCAAACAAACATGAGCAGACTGTTGGTCCTGTCAGCTGCTCAAGCATAAATCAGAAATAATTCCATGAAAGTCATTAAAGTCACAGCACTCTGGAGAAAAACTGGCATGTGATGATTTTCAAAGTCTATGAAAGTGCAACATGCACAGCAATAATTCCATCCAAGGCTGGCCATGGGTGAAGTTAGAGACAATGTTCTGGAGACAGAACAAAAGGAAAATTGAAGACACACATTATAGAAAACAGACACCGCCTACTGCTATTATATGTAGGGGAACTTCTGAAAAATGTGTGGAAGCTATCTATAAAATATAGTTTTAATCTGGTACAGTCAGAAATCTGGTATGTTCCACAATACAGAAGAACTTCCTTACAAGCACAATATCAAATATATTCCGGATTTTCGAAAGTAAAAGTGGGCCCTGCATATGCCAAGATTTTTCATTTGCAGTCCTTGCATTTCCTGACTTTCACTAGGCACACAACTGTAGAAAGCAGGCTGGGGGTACAACAAAATAAGTCTATTAAGACACGCTCAGTGTAGACTGCTTTGCAACTCGGCATACCTTTAGGTAAAGCCAGAACATTGCAACATACAATTACCATGGCAACAGGATAATAACAAATATTGGCATTAGCTCCTCATGCTCTGATCAAGACCATTTCCTACGTATCTCAGACCTACTAAACTCAACCACATATCTAAAAGACCCAAACATTGTCAAGTTGGTGCCAACGCATTTGGATTAAGCCATTCGATTTCCCGGCTTACTTCCCAAACTTGCAAGCGCATTACTTAAAAGACCACCCTTTGTATTTTCACTTTTTGTCATGGAAATAACAGGTAAAGCATGCGTTACTACTAACCTGCTTGCCTAATTGGTCCACTGTCCATGCTGCCACCAAACCCTGGCTTGTCACAGTACGGGGGGGCCCAGTCAGCTTCACAGTGACAGTTCTTTTTATTGTTGCAGACCTTCAAAACAAAGATAAGAGAAGTCTTACGCTAGATATCTGAAAACAGCACTGGCCAATTAGGCCTCCTAACCAGACAGTGGCACAGCTGAAAGAACTGAAGCTCGTGTAACCGAAGCGCTGTGCTGGAATCTGCTTGCTGGGACAACTAAGATGGCATACAACAACTCCGAGTGCAAGACACTGTGTAGCAATAGGGAGCCTAACAAAGGATTGCTTGGCAGGTAATAATTTGGGTTGCACCAGCTGACACCTTCAACAGCTGCATAAACTGCGTCGCATCAACGGAAGAAGAGTGTTTGTGGCGAGGTAGGCTTGTATTCACTTGAGTTAAGATACTAAGGATAATCACACCTCCCTCTCCCTCCAGCAGCAACGGTATTTGTCTTCTAACTTTTGTTCCATCTCCCTTTACAGGAACAAGAGCCTCTTTACGTTGTTAACACTGTAAAGCTTCATCAGCCTGCTTGAACACTCCAGCCACGAAAGGCTTGTGCTAGGCTGCACACTGATTTTTCCACTGCTCGGATTCCCCTAGCTCAAAGATAGACCAGTTGCATGGAGAGGATGTGAAACTGGAAGCAAGCCAGAGGAAATCCTCCCTTTGACATCGCATCTGCACTGTCTATAAAGATATATTGCTCAGTATTCTGGTGGTTTTTCTCTGAGTTCAGGAAAAACTAGCAAAAGCTGATTTACCAAATGCTCCCTGCGGAGTGGGAGGTCTCCAAAAGACCAGACCCAACAGACAGCATCAGCCTGATCCTACTGCACGAAGGAGAAAGAGTTGGTAGGCTCCTGGCTTTTTCCTTAGGAGAGGCCATACAGTCCCAAACATCTAAAAAAAGATGGGCTAGTCTTTATTCCCTTTTACTGCCACCCACATAGGGTGGGCCTACGATGCTAATACAAGCACTAAGGATCCATGCTTTAGCAATAGACTAAATCAACCAAATGGGCCAAATATTTTTCTGCACAGGACACAGATGGCATAGTTGCATTTAGGCGTGCTTTGCCTGATTTTTTTTTTTTTAAAGGAAGGTTTTTGGGCCAGTTGTCAATGTGGTCCTTTGTGCTAACACCGACCATCACTGCTCTACCACAGCCATGGAAAAACTACACAGTAGATCTATTGATGAATGGATTTCTGAGTAAGACACCAGTTAGTTCACAATAGTTCTCAAATATGCATTTCTTGGCGAGGTCAGCTGGCAGGCTTTAGTAAGACTATACTGGAGATGTCCGCACAATATTAATTAAAACATCATTTGCTTAGCCTAGGCTTGCTCTGGTCATGTAAGATATAAAAAATGATTCATTTTTTCACAGATAGGAAGAGAGTTTAAAATATCATTCATTAAGCATGAATTTCTAAATTAAAGCTCTACAGGGATTCCCATCTACAGCTACGCGAGTTCCTTCTGTGCTGCCCAGGAGTCACCCTGCGTTCTCCGTCATACAGGCATAAAGATGCCAGTGTAGGTTGATGCTCCTTGCAGCACATTGATAAAATGCAGCACCATCAACACCACACAGTTTTTCAAATACAGGATGATAAATTAAGTTCAAATAAGTTAAAATCCCTTCACAGGAGAGGACAGAGAGTTTCATATGAATCTTTCACTACGGATACCACAGCCCTTCACCAGAACAAACAGGTCGTTAGAAAACCAAAGTAAATAAGGCATAGTTTGAAATAATTAACACTTCCAAAATATAAACTAGGTTTCAAAACATCTAGGCCTTATCAACTGAAACAGATATCATCATATTTTTCATCTGATCTCACTTTCATACCATGAAACCAATGAATATACTTTTACTTTAATACTTTTGGAAATGCTTTTTTGAAATATCTCAAATGCATATTTTAGCCCCACAAAAATGGTCCTGTTTGAAATGTTAATGGGAAGTCTCCAGGAAGGAAGGTTAGACTTAACATTGCCTTGAAGATGACAAAAATTCCTTTTTATCTCATACTGTTAATTAAAAAAAAGATAATTACTACCTGATAAATCTTTCTTTGTTAAATAAAAATAATTTCAGTTCTTGCAGTTCATATAAGGAACACTGAAAATTGAAATACGTGAGGAAAAAGTATTGCAGTGACTTTCACTGATCTATTACAAAGAATCAGAGATCCCAAAGCTATTATATAAAATGATTTCTTGTAAAACGGTTATTGATCGATTGTAAAAAAAAAAGTTTTCCTATAATACTTACTCCACGGGCATGGCACTTTGTGACACATTTATGCACACCAAAAACACTTGTATTCTGGCATCGGCGATTAAGACAAATCTGCAAAATTAAGAAAGGAAGAGGAGTTTTAACAGCGATGGAACAGCTGGTACTCACAACGGGTCGCATCCCCTTCCAGTTCTGCACATTTTTCATCTGTCAGTTGTTCCTCTAGCGGTTACAAAGATTCGCCTGTACACAGTATATCGACAGCACTACATTGACAGAAAGACATGGACATCAGATTTACGCCTCTGTGAATCTTTTAGGTCCAAATCTGTGGAACTGAACATTGCTCGACTGGCATCCTGGGCAATACCGAACTTCAGAAATAGTTCATATTTGGGTAGGATGCTGAGTTTCTGCGAACGCACGCAGCTTCGCTGAAGTGGAACTGGTGGCAGTCTCCTTGGGGTTTGATTGGTTAAGGTAATTGAAAAAAACCCAGTCAGTGACATTTTTTCAGGCCTGGGAATGCATGAAGCGGGATTCTTTCATGTACTTGAACCGGCTGCAGACACCTCTTCACGCACAGCAGCTGATTCTTGAGTGGCAGCTTCAGACCCTTTACTGGTGTAAATCAGCACAGCTCTCTTTATAGCAATAGCACAGTATTGATTTATGCTACTGCAGAATTTGAACCCAGGACAATCTGAATATTTTCCAGAGGTCATTGATATATATGGGCTCATTTCTGTTCTTAGGAAAACTGAGACTATTCTAACAGTCAACTTTCCCAGGCTAAATTATTTTTTGATGTCAAATATAAAACAGCCATACATAAAGTACAATAATAATCTTATGGGAAATAAAAGTAAGAAAATGCTATGTGCAAAGTAATCAGATGCAAATTTTTTTGTTTTCCAGTCATTACCAGCAAACTTTACCCTGCCAATATAACTGAAATTTGGGATAAAGCAAGGTAAGTACCATCTAATAAAGCCATCAAGCAGTCAAATGACTGATGAAGCTATCAGTATTAAGAAGTTATCCTACTAAGATTTGAGGGGAAGAAAAGAAGAAGAAGAAATTAGGACTGAAATAACTGTTACTGTGCCACACTGAAGAAAAAAAAATCAGTGCACAATTTTGCTCCAGTTTAAATGCAGTTCAGTTCAGTAATACTAAAAGTCAGTCACAATAATTAGCATTAAGCTGGGAAAAGCGTTGAAGGAGACGACAGGGATGCTTAATCAGGGCACTTATCCCCTGGGGAGAAGGCAAAATGGAAGGAAATTAGAGTGAATTGGCATCAACATGCATGCACGTAGAGAATACAGGCTGATTACAGCAGTATTCACAATTCAAATATTCATAGTGCAGCAGCACACAGAATTCTGATCCCATTAAAATGGCTGCATTTCAAATTGGGCATCTTCAGCTTAGAAAGCTCAAGAATATTTAAATTCATATTCTTAATCCATAATACAAACGCACTAATGTCCTCAAAGTAAAACATACAATTTGATAAGTATTATCCTGTGTATTCTATAGTGTGTATGTGTATGATTAGATAGATTAGAAAGATTAAATACTCATTAGTAAAACATAATGGGGTGCTTTTCCAGTGTTGAATTTTCTTTGAAAAGACATTTTACAGACTCTTTTATAATAGATTGACTTAGAAATGTTATAAGGGTTGTTTTCTTGTAACAGGATTGTAGTTGCATTAGGGACATGTTTTAAACCTGTTCTCAATGCAGTGTGGTAATCCAACATAATTCAAAAGCATTCAGAAATTCAGAGGCTTACTTGAATTTACCACAAATTATCAAAGCACGTTTTTTGACTCTCTTTGTCAGTAATCCCCTGAGGGTATGGAAACCTTCTTCTTTTCAGTAGCTTGTGGCCTCCTTTCCGTTTCTCCCCCTTGTAAACTCATGACTGTCTCCCTCTACTCTCTGTTCCTCTTCTCTCCAAATAAAAATCCCAGGACACCCATATGAAATTTGGACCATACTCATGCCAGATAATTTACAATGCTTGCAAACTATGATTGCACAAAATTCAGTTTTGATGGCTGAACATCAATCAGGTGAACATTATATTTTCCTAGCAGTTCTTACCAAGATAGCTTTTCCAGTAATAAAAAGGGGAGGAGGGTCCTAATCAGCAGATCCCATGAGCACATTCCAAAACCTAAAGTGAAGCTAATGAGAATTTTGCAAAACTACCAAGAAACGCCATAAACACTAGCAAAGCTTGGGGCACTGGTATGAAAATGCATGAAAATAGCAAATTTTGCATTTCCTGTTAAAGCATAAGAGCGGCCATTTGAGATGAGGTCAGCGTTCTCCAGCAGTAGCCAATAGTGGATGCAGAAGAAACTGTATGAAAACACGACAGCACAGCATGACACTTCCCCAGTGTACTGTACAACCTGCAGCTTAAGGATCTGCTGAGCCTTGAGGAGCAGTTCTTGACGAGTTGTCCCCCAGGGAAGCTATCCACTCACTTTTTGAACATGTTCATACTTTTGACATCAGCAACAACATTTTGTGGTAGTAAGTTGTACAGGTTTCACAGCACGCTCTGTGAAAAGGTATTTTCCCCTTTTGTTTGCTCTAAAATCCTCACCTGATTTCATTTGTTTCATGCATAGACGTCACTGTCTCCTGTTCTCACATCTCCATGCTACTCCACATTTTATGTACTTTTATAATCTACTAAAACTGCAAGATCTCTTCACTGAGCTGAAATACCTAGATCAGCGCTCAGTACAAGCCAAGCGCTCTGAAGTGGTGCGAAGGACATTTAGAGAGTTCAGGGAAAATTATATTGATAAATTTAAATGCTGCACCCTGAAACATCAAACTCTGAATTTGGGCAGCACACAAACCAATTTAACTATAATGCTAATCCCTAGGTCTCACTTGCACCAATGAATACACTGAACTCATCAGAATTTCATTAACCATCTTGTCATGTATTTTGCTACATTTATTTGGCAGGAAGTACCTATCCTTCGCAGACAGATACTTGGGGCTGTCCTAACAAATCATGTATAAACTTGAGCAACTTGCATTGCATGTGCAAGGTTAATTCAAAACAGTGGCCAAAAGAAGGGAGTAAAAATCTGACTCCGTGTGAGCACGAGAAACAATGACAATGCACTAATTCTCTGTGAAAAGAAAGCCCCAAACAAAACAACGTTCAGTACTTTGCAGCAGCAGGGTAAGCGATGTTCGCCTTGCCTGGGAGCGTTTCAGAACCTTACTTTTCCATCTGCGCACTTGGTTCCTGACAGCACAAGACCAGGATCTGGCATATCATCCCCCAAGTACACGTGGGTACCACGACACAGAATCTTTCCACCTTCCTGAAGGGGGATATTAGTTTCTATGGAAACAGCATTGGTACCAATTACAGGTCGATTTGCTCCCCCTTGACACTGAATTTTTCCACATTTAGCGTCTCTGAAGGAAATAAACAAAACCAAAAATTAGTTAAATGATTTTAAACGTTACACCTCCCCTCCCCTCACCTTTGCATCAGCTCCTGTGTTTGTAAAGAAAGACCTTACCTGGGTTCACATTTAGCAAAGGAGCTCTTGGAGTCTTTGCCACAGTTGCCGTAAGGATCTCCTGCAGAATTGACTCTCTCAAAACAGATCCCAGGAGCAGGTTTCGCACCTGAAACAAAAACAAATCAGAACTTTCATCTGCTACAAGGTGTTTTTCATAATCTTCTTTTAGCTCTGCTGATGTTTTAGGGGAAGGTAAGACGTGATCTGCATATTGATGAAACACAACAAAACAGTTGTGCTTGATCAGCATGCTAATTGCCTGAATGTACGGGGTTTTCCACAGTTATTTGTCTCTCTTGGCAATGCTAAGCAATAAACAATGCCCAACTCATTTTTGGGGGGGAATTTCTAGATGATGTCCCTCTTGAGAACCCTCCTAGGACACAAAAACTTCTAGCAAATGCCAAATCTAGTAAGAAAGGTGCAGGCCAGCAGGTAAGCTAACTCCCTTCTTTTTACAGGAGCCCCCATGATTCTAGTGAAAGCCCAAGAGCTAAAGCCAAAGCAAACACTTTTGCAGAAAAGCTTTTTAAAGTACAGTTCAGTACAACGAGAAACCAGAATAAATCCTGTTGCAAATGGGAGTGCTATACAGCTATAAAAACAGGACCCCATGACATGACAAAGAAAATATGCTGCAATTAGCTCCAGCTAATGTCCTTAGGGGAGGAGAGGAAACTATCCCCACCTTAATCCTCAGTAAATCCACGCCTGAGAGGAAGGACTGGCTTGAAAGAGGGATTATTTCTACCATGGTGGTAGAACTAGGAATCTGGGAAGAGAGGCAGCATCTGGTTCTTATCCGCCGTTGCCCTTTATCATGCAGACACACTCTGACACCAAAGTAACTTCCGTGATGGGAGCAGTCCTGGAAATGTTTGTGCAGTCAGTTTACTCACCCCTACATCTACATTCTCTGTGTTAGAAGGTACCATCTAGTCTAATCTCTTACACAGAAAATCTCTTGTCCATTCTTTCCCAGATTATGACCAACTATTTAAAGAATCTTCCAGAGAAGCATCCAAGCGTAGATTTGAAATATGTCAGAGGTGCAGGATCTACTTCACTGATTTGACGGTTGCAACAATTAATTAGTCCTCCTATTAGAATTTCATCCCTTCTTCCTAATTTGAAGTACTGGCTTTTATTTCCAGTCAGTAATTCTTGCAAAAATAGGAATTGTAAAGGGCCCTTTGCTTGGGCTCTTTAGTCCGCCGTACTTTCTTTGCATGAATATATTTAACAGCATGGCCAAGTCACTGCCAACATTTCAGTCACTCCAATACACAGATTTGCTCTGCGGACACAGGATGGTAAGGAGACATACTGGCTACAACTCTTAACAGATACCTAGAGAGCTGCCTACATTAGCACTGGTACCACTAATAAAGCTGCGCTGAGAAGACATTTTTCAGAATAAAATCTCTCACACTGAAAACAAAAAAGAAGCGTTGTACTTTTGATAGATCAGCCGGACTGAAACAAAAAGAATTGACAATAAATGATGTGATAGCCTAAAGGCTGAGAATATACCATTTTTCACAGTGTCCCCTGATTTTTAACAGAGACAGAATATCTGAGTTAACATTACAGTTTTCAAATGTTTTGAGCCACTTCCAAGTGTGTAAGCATATAGCTGTGAGCAAAACATGTATCATTTATTTAAACCATCCTGAAGATTTCATCTGAAAGTCTTCAAAGAGGAAGAAGGTTTAAAGAAGGGTTCCAGTTCCTAGAGAACAAAATACAAATGCGACTGTAAAACTAACAGTTAGTGTGGATCCTTTCACTAATAACTCAGAGATTAGAGCCTCAATTAATCATCTGTATTTCACAGTCCGAAGCTTGACTAATAGTATATACTGCTGAACAGCAATCTAATGCTATTAAGGACAAAATGTTAAAACTTGGAGAGGCCTAGGATGGCAACCTCTCTTCTTCCTAACATTTTTACTTGCAAACTGGAAAACTCAGAAAGCAGGGCACAGACAGAAGAGAATATGAGCTGCTGCTTCCCTGGAGAGAAGGACAAGAGCTTGAAATTCTTTGGAAGATTACTATCAAGCTTGCTGAGTTCAGAATATTTCTCAAATCTGGAACTATTAAAAGGGACTCACACAGGATCCTTTTACTTCTTTTCATTAAACCACAAGCAATAATCATAAATCAACAAAAGCATCTAGACAAGGCACTGTGCAAAAAGCAAAAATATGAATTCCATTTTCAGCACGTAGTTTCCTCCTCATCTTTCTAGGGCAGGGACATTAGCTATTCAGCATGATACAAACATTAAAATGTGCATATACGATGCCAGCTTTAGAATAGAGAGGGAGTGAAGGGAAAAAGATGGTGTCGCTAAAAGGCCCAGTAAAACTAACTGCTTTTTCCCCCAGCATCTGCAAAGAATGACTTGCTCAAACCTGCCTCACCAAAGCTGTAAGGACCCCTATCGACCATAACCCCGTGCAATTGCTATCAGCATCCTTTCTTCTCAGCTGAGAATCCTGCGCCAAGACTTGTTCAACCAGCGGAGTATCACCGCAACAACTAACAGTTTCCTCGAGGACGTGCCTGCAGCAGCCCAAGGCACAGACACGCTTTCCCCAGCACGGCGTTGGCTCCAAAGATTGCCAAAAGCTAAACAACTGCTCACAGTCCTGTGCTTTGACTGTAAGTGACCTAACAAAGACTCATTAAAAAGAGGTGTTGAAGGGATAAGCGATTCCTGAAAAACTGAAAGAGTTTAAGGTATATATCCCCCCCCCCCCTTTCACCCGGTGGAACTTTTTTGTCTTTTTTTTTGTTTTATGTACAAGTCAAGCATGCTACACATGATGGAAACCAGCATTTGGGAAGAGCAACACATCGGTAGCATCCTTTCAGGGCTCAGTGAGTTTTAACTCCAACCAATATTACTTAACAAGAGAACAGATCTCATGGAGGACAACAAAATGCCCCCCTGCCAGGCTTTGAGCACTCTGAGTATAAAAACACCTGGTACTCAACAATCATCTGAAGCTTGGAGACCACAATCTAGCTCCAATTTGTGTTTTCTAAATGCAAGAATAACACATCCCTGCTTGGGATGGCTGTTCCTTCTCCTGACTCGCTTCTCACACCATTTGGACTTTATTATAGCTGAAAACATGTAAGACTATACCAAATTGAACAGATGGAGCTACCAAGTTAAAAGGAAGATTTCAGAGGATGCTAAAGCAAAAGAATTGTAATGTTGTGTTTCTGGAGCAAACCCATTTATCATGATTGCATCACATAAACTGAAGCAGAAAGTGCTGTCTTTCTCTATTTTGCTACCTCAACAGGCAAAGGCAAAACCATTTGTGAAAGATATCCAGTGGTTATTAAGTGCTTTGAACCGGATGAGCAGAGTTTATTTCACTTTGCTATTATAATTATAGTGTTGTGACCCTGTAATTAAGGTCTTATCTGCCTTTCCATGCCAAGCCTTAGTCAAGGGATTAAATCAGCCATTTAAGATTGAGGCAGGTCAAAGCTCACCACTGCAGTCGTCAGCCTGCAGTGATAGTGATGAACTCACTTCTTTCGCTATAAGGTTGCAACAAAGAGAAGCCAGTTTTAGAAGCCATACTGTGTCTTTGAGGTCACCCCAGAACTGCTTCAATGGGCAAATACCTTCACCGTAGCCAGAAAGAGAGGAATTTCTGACCATGGTGCTGATTCCAAGCAGAACGAAACACCAGTTAGCAGACGGAAAGTGGAAATGAGGATATTTAGTTTCAGTTCTCAATATTGTCTCAGATTTATTTTTAAAAGTGTATACAATCTCTATATATAGGTGTGGGAAGAAAAAAAAATGCACAAACTGGTACTTGGAGTGCCCTAACAAGCACCATAAAAGACCGTATAAATAAGCAGAAACATAAAGATATAGTTCTGAGGGTCACATGATTTGCACCTGGATTTTAGGTCTCATTAAATCTGTTTTACTGCACCGATGATGCAAAGCAAACTTCCATGATCTTCCCTTGGCCTCTCTCTCTTCATCTCAGTGATCCCTGCTGTTAAGTCTGCGCAAGAGTAGGACAGGTCTGAGCTGTTCTTTCTGCATTTAAGGACCATGCTCGTTCTTACTAGCGCTGAGAATATAGCTTAATGCCCCACACATCCCCAGCCCAAAATGGCCTGGCATAAATTTGTAATGATCAAAGTAGTTTGAGTTTTCTAGTTGTGCTAAATGATATTCTAAAGCTTTACAGTGCTCAGATAAATTAGTATCCTCCAGAAAGCAGTCAGGAATAGTTTGGTCAGCTGATTTAGATGGGGAAGCCCTGTGTTACTTCATCTTTTTTATTTCACCTATAGGGCCGTACTTAGAACAAAATCCAAAGCTCTTACATCAGCGATAGGCCCCGTAACAAATATTGACATTAAAATTACGATTGTTCCTGTGCAAACAATTATCCATGTCTATGCAACAAATGTAAGTGTGTTCTAGTTAGTAAGTCAGTGCCGTCAGTGCCTGCCATTTGCTCCCCAAACTCATTGCTTTTTTCCCCCTCTTTCCAGGCAATGTAGAAAAAGGCAGCAGCCTAAAGCTGAGAATCTTCTATTCTGAGGTAATCAATAATTTCTCTCTCTTAAATAGTTTTATCTGTGTATCTAGCTGCTCCCTGAAAATGCCAGTGGAGTACTAGACATTATACAGTGTGTTACTGTTGATGTATCTTTCAGTCACACTACTATCAAGAGGTCAAACCAGTGCAATTTGACATTTCTGACTATTAAAAAAAGGGTTTCTAGTACTTCATGGATGTTGCTCTTTAAAGACAAACATGACATGAATTAAGGAGAGAAAGAGTAGACAAATCTCTGTGTTCTGAGAGCAGACCAGAATGAACCTGTATCTTTAACAAGACTTTATGGCCATCTTCAGAGACTGTCTCCAGGTGCTCCCTTCTTCCACTCCAAGCTCACCATCCTCTTGCAAGTGAGGGCTGGCTGGAACACATTAGAGTTGTTGTGCAGGAAGCCTTGACTCGGAGTCTAGCTAGGAAGACCCAAGCACGTACTCAGTGTGATGCAGTTTTGTCCAAATGGGCTTGCAGAGAAAGAAAAATCTGCTTATATTTGTCTTCCACGTGCCTGATTTCACTGAAGTTCTTGGCTGGAACAGCTCTGATTAAGAAAAAGCCATAGCTGACACTAAGGTTTGGCTCTGATACTTCAGTCATCCTTCTACTGGTATTAACACCCTGGCATAAGATTTTGATGCTGCAATACTGTATGTTTGGTGAGCAGTAGGGAGATGCAGTGGAGTGGCCATGTGATCCTCTTCCCACTCTTCACTTTCTTGAGTAGGTAGCACGGCTTCTTGACCAAGAGCGCCAGTGACTAGCACTGCTCAGCCAAACGTGCCATCACTTCCCAGCAGCGCCTTGGCACCCTGTCCCAGCAAGTCTGCTCTGCCTCGACGGTGGGATGCAGAGAGGGGCTCTCCTGCGGGAAGGCACGGGGACAGCCGTTCACCAGCCCCAAACAACATCCTCTGCCTAGAAGCAGAGTTGGGAGTCCTCTCCACAGAGACATGTTGAGCCTACGCTAGAGGTGAGAGGGGCTTGGGGAAGACAGACTCACATAAACACAGGGAAGATAAGAGTTTGGTATAATTACTATTCAGCTCCAAATCCCTGTTTTTATTATATAGGAAATAATAACAGAAAGTATTTCTCCATTTGAACTGAACTTATCTGTTGAATGTAACAAAGAAACCCAATGTAATGCAAGTATTTCCTTCTGCAAACAGATTCTTATTGCTCAGCCTAATACATACAAGCTCTGATAATGCTCATCATTTTTCTTTAACTGGACCTAAAAAAAAATTAAGATCAACTTTTATCATTGGGCTACTGGACATCTGTAACCCTATGAATAAAGAAAGATATACAAAAGAATACCCTGATAAGGAATTCAATACACTGAATATGGTTTAAATGAAAGTTATCATATTTTGTCCTGCATAGATTTATTCTATTGGGAGAAAAAAAGAGGAATTAATGTAAATGAACTCTGACCTGTTTCCTCTGTGGTATAGTTTGTCCTCCGCCCCCATTTTTAAAAACAATTTTTAAGCAATTACAGTAATCTGGTAAAAGGTTCAAATGTATCTTTTTGATACGAAGCCCAGAGAAAATATCCTGGAATGTTCTCGTCTCTCCGTCGTCTGCAAACCGAGCTGGGAGGAAACAGTTTTCCTAACTGTCCCATGACAGGAGGTGAGATTTCAAATGACCTCTTTCTGCAGCTGCGCAGCCCACCTCACCCTCGTTCCCCTCCCACCCCAATACTGCCGTGGAGCAGCCTCTACCTCGCCAGTGGTCACTAACTCCGTCTGGAGAAGGCATCTGTTGCTGTCACACCATTCTCATTAAAAACAGAAAGACGATTCTGATCTCCCGCGTGGGGGTCTGCCTCTGTTAACTTTACTAGCATTATTTCTAATTTATCCTTTGCACCAACGAGATCAGGATTAAGCCGTTCAGTTCAGGTTTGGAGGCAGCACTTGGTTAGGAAGCGAAGCTGGCAGTGGAGCTGCAGCAGTTCGGCTCTCTGACCTTCAGCTGCATTTTTCTGAGCAACAGAAATTTCTAACGGTTTAGCTGAGTAACTTTCCATGGCATGGGAAACTGTTTCATAAGGAGATCTTGTTTGATACAAGAGAAAATGTCTCGGTATCCAGGCGATGAAAAATCCCAGTCTGACTAAGACTGGAGGCTATAATTGTACAAGCCTCCGCGAGCTCATGTTAAGTCTAGGACACAAGTGGGGTTCGGAAGAGTATTTCAGATGCATGATTTGCGCCATGTGGGAAGTGTAATTATGAACGGGAACTCCGCTCGCTCGTTACACACACACACACACACAACCAAGAGAGCTTTTCCCTCCTATCTGCATTAGCAGCATTACTTCTTGAGCTGCTTTAATGCTCTTTAAGAAAGATCTGCAAATGGTCCAACTCCCTGTGAAGATAACAGACAAATACTTCAGTAGACTTCTGATGAGGGCTCTGACCAAGAGAAGCATATGTGTCATCATACTTATACATAAGTTTAAAAATGGAGTGGAAGGCAGAGAGATACTGAATTGAAAGAGGCTAAGGGAGTGGGAAAAATCAACTTGAAAGAAATAATAAAACCTAGCTCTATTATAGTGCTTTTCTTCAGCAGAGCTCAAAATGTTTTTCCCATTTGAGAGAGAGGGCGACTGAGATGCTGAAGGAGACGTGACTTGTCCAGGGTGACTCAGCAGGCAAGAGCAAAACCAGGAACAGAATACAAGTTTCCTGAGCTAATACTGGTATTTCAGTTGAAGAGCCACAGGATGTAACAGGAAGATGAACCGCCTTCCTGGGAAATCATTTATTTAAGATAACGCAAGAGATCATGCTATTAGATTTTTGCAAAAAAGTAAATGAATTCCCAGGGGAGGATAAAATCTCTTTCTGCTTCAGGGTATACTCTGCTAAGGGTACTATTAGGAGGTAGGTTTATAGGGTAACACCAATTAATAAATGCACACACCAATATGGGAATCTTATGCTAACGTCAAATACTGAACTGTGCTCTGGGATGTAGGCAGACATCTTACATGTTTTGCAGATGAGCCATTTAGAGCGGGGCGGCGGGCAGTTTGCATACCAGTCTGAAGAGGGATGTGATTTTAACCTAACTCAGCAGCATTCAGTACGTTACAGGATAGCATAAGGCCATAGAAAAGTATTAAATGGTTTGCCAAAGTTCATATAGCCGGTCGTAGCAGTGTTGCAGAATGAACTAGCAGTTCTCCACCTCCTGCTGCAAGAACTGAACATGACTGCAAATCAAGGAGAAAATGAGTCACAGAATGATTCCCCCATTACTCAGTTCTCTGCTCCAAAAAAGAATACAGATTGGTACTGCACAAAATTCCCCCAAATCCACCTATAATCACACACATTTTCCTCTCAAGTCTGTCCGATATACACACCTCCTGGTTCTTAAACTCACCTTGGCCCCAGAGCGTGATACACTGCTGCTCGTGGGTCTGGCAGATGCCGTTGTAACAGTAGCCATCCACCCTGTGGCAAGCATGTCCGTCGTGCAAATACACGTTAGCTGGGCAGTGCGGGCTGGCTCCAGTGCAGAACTCTGGCAGATCACAGGAATTACTTGACTCTCTGCAAGAAATCCCCGCTGGTTTCAACTGAAAAAAACAAACAAACCACTTGAACTGCCGCAATTCCAGTCAATAAGAGTTATGCAGGGGCGTAATCCACGCAGCGCACAAAGAGCTTTTTTCGGTGCGTATCTGCACCAACTGACCACGGTGAACAGAATAAAGATTGTGCAACCCTTTGAATACATTTATTCAAGACATGTGGCCAAGAATTTGGCACATTTGTGGACTGGGGGCCAAACAGCTCGCAGCTGCCAACATGCCGCATGTGGCTGAGGTGAGAGGTGAATCCAGCCTTTTGTCAGTTTGCAAGTATGGGTCAATTTTTCAGATTGCCTCCAGTAATCCTTTCTTTTTTTTTTTTTTTGGAATCCAAAAACAGAGACGTAAAAACATACTGGGCTCCGCAGTAGCGCTAACCAAAGGTCAGATCGGAAACATTCTCACACAAACAGCCTCAATCCTGGGTGCATGTTCTGTTCTCAGGGTGACTTGAACAACACAGGGCTCCAGGCAGACAGCTGCTCACATAGCCTGAACACCCCTCAGGGCAGCCGTAACTCACGAAGCCGCCATCCCACCTGAATACGGGCTCAGCATCCTGGATTGCTTCCTGAGATGAAAGATCACTTCCTTACAAAAGTATCTTTCTGCCAGAAGCTTCAAGACCTTCTTCAGCTTAACCGATAGCCCAGGTAGTCCTCACAACTACTCCTCGCCTCACCTGATTTACGAGGATAGCTACATTTTTCAGAGCTGACGGTGATGAGTAGGTAACTGTGGAGTATGCCCAGTCTGAATACTTTCTTATCAACAAGAAAAAAAAAGTATTCTGGGAGCAGTACTAATTTTTTAACTGCATCACCACAGTGCTTTTGGTAAAAAGCAAAATGACATCAAGATTGATTCTGCTAAAAAGCCCTTGCTAGGAAAGCACTGAAAAAGGTTGCTGTTGTTTTCATAGCATGCTGCTGTTGAGCTTTTGGGCAGATGGTTGCCACAGATGCAACGGAAACTCACTGAATGCTTTATTAGCCCATATGCAAAAGTTGGTCTGAGAATTCAAGAAGGTAAATGCCTGTAGCAAGCTGGCTTTTTATAGTACATTAGGAGTCCACAAGAGCTGATGATCTGCTATTAAATATATATACGCTGTTGACAGAATTAATGTTTTAAGAGTCTTCCTTTAAAAAGATGGCCCAGTATTTAATGACTGCTTGCTACAGCACACAATCCAGATCAGCATGGAAAAGATCACAGTATACAAGTTCATGAAAAAGAAGAGGTTTTGCACGCACAAATGAAGTGGCTAGAAACAGCACAGACACCATTAAAGAAGTTGGTTGATCTGGCCCTTCAGTAACTGTCACAGTTTGATAATTTTTTTTAATTGCTCACATGAAATGTAAGTGTCTTAATGTTTAATGATACCAATTTATTCGTTCTGCATCCTGGCTTACAAACCTGCAGTTGAGAAGATTGTGGAATTCTGCCCACCCCACATAAATAAGAGATGTTTAGATCTGTTCACCTGGCAGTCTTCACAGCAAAGTCCATGTGCACACACTGCTCCTGGTTTCAAAGTACAGGTAGTTGCATTGCAGCACTGGTTGGTACATTCCTACATGGAGGACAAATTTAAAGCAGACAACTTTCAGTCACATGGAGCTGTAAATCAAGAAAGACTGTCTTTCTCAAAGAGGTGTTATAGCTCTGCCAAGAAAAGCGCCGTAAGAATTACTGAATTATGCATGAAATTCTACGACTTGATCCAAGCAATCTGGTCTACAGCTCTAATAATTGGTTGTAAAACCAGAGAAGCCACCGAAGAATGCCAGGCTATAGATCTAGTCCCAGTAGGTTGATACCAATCCTGATTGTCATAAATTATTACGCTGGTCTAGTTCCACAAGAATCAATGGAATGACATCAATTAAAATTTTAGAAATCAGGCTCAAATTCTCAGCCTCAAATTCTGCCCATAGTTGGTATGGGGAATCCCACAGAAATCAGGGAGAAAATTATTGCGATAAAATTTTTTTGACAGTATAAAAAATATAAACATAAGTAGTACCTTATTTCTAGATTAAATACCAAGGAAGTATTTTAATTAAAATACAAAACACAAAACACAAAGCACTGAGGGGACAAACTCCGTCATCTTCAGCTGAATTCACCCAGCTGAGGATCTGTAGACCCTGGGCTACAGAGTTACTCAACATGACTACTATGGCTCTCTATTTTGTGATAGTTGCTCACCAAAAGTCTGTATAGCATGGAGATTGGTTGCTACTGCAAAAAAAAAGAGATGAAGACACCATTCAATGTAGCTGTCAATCCACAGTCTGCAATCTTTTATCAGGGTATTGCAATAACAGAGCTTTGAGAAAAGTATGAATTGCATTGTTACTAATACCTCCCAATTTCGCACTTATGGATTAGATGGTGGCACATGTGTGGTTTTACAAACTTTGTTCTCAGTAGGAGAAGCTAGTAAGAAGTTTCAGAAAAAAATGGATTTGATTTTCCAAGATTTTACTCACAAGCTGCAAGTTAAACCAGCTGCATGGAAACTCAGTTCTCTAACAAAAATAGCAGCAGATAAATTTGCTCTTCAGCTGTGTTAAGTCCGTTTGACTTAACAAGGGATCACTAACACTATACTGAACACAGGAAAAATAAGTGGATTAGAGTGATGTTCACAGCCTCTTGTTACTTTATTGGTTTTTGCAAAACTTTCCCACTGGAAGATAAGGCTGCCTGGTTATAGCACCACACTCGCCAACAACGAACAAAATGATTCTCAGCCTTTCATTTTTTAAAAAATAATATCTGCCTGCATACACAAAGCTAACTCTGTGCTTACTCTGAAGTAGCAGAATGACTTCCCTGTACCTATTTTTGATCATGCTGGAAGGCAGAAGGCTATTCAAATATTTCTGTGCAGCTGCTGTATTTAAAAAATAACATTTCTCTGCACAAAAGCACATTTTATACATTTGCCTCAATAGCAATCTGGGAAAAGCAGAGTAGAGGAGGCGATGTCAGTGCAATGAAGGTACTTCTGAAACAGTCCACTCCGATATGCCATCATCTGGCCATGTACAAAACAGTCCATGGAAAGCAACAGAATTTCCACAGACAGGTTGAGATAAAGACACAGATCTCCGAACAACGTTACTGCCGCCTTGCAAATTTCCAGCTGCTGCTCACGCACTTATTACTCATTGCAGGGAACAAGCTTGCTGAATAGGTTTTGTGCCTGGGCTATTAAACTGTCACAAACAGTTTTAACATAAACAAACAGGCAAGGAAACCAAAAAGACTCACAAGGTTTTTGGAGGCTGGAAGAGAGATAGGAGGCCATCACCTGAAACTGTTGCTGTGTTGGTGATGAGGACAGGAATGGTGGGAGTTGTTTCTTTTTGGCTCATTAGAGCATCTCAAACAAACTAACCTCAACAGCAATTCTAGCATCATCCTCATGGTGCCAGTTACTGTAGACAGGACACCTTATTTTCACCACCACTTTTCTAAGAACACAGGAAAGACTTACACTGGGTCAGACTACAACCTGTCCAGCCTTGTGCCCTCCCAACAGAAAATGCTTAAGGACAAGAATAAGAACACACATGTTGTGACACTTCCGCAGTGTCCCCTTGCATCCATGCGCATTTCTAACACCTGTAACATTCAGCAGCAAGGAACTCAAAACTCATCTACACAGTCTGGGAAACACCCTCCTTCTGCTAGTTTGAAAAAAGCTGCCATTTGCTGCCTTCATTTGCACAGTTCTCGTGGGGGACAATCACTTTGTAGTCTCTCTCTCCAAGTCACTCATGATTTTATCACCTTCTGTCACATATGCCTTCATTTTCTTATTTTCCAGGGAGAGCTCCTCCAAAACGTCGCTCGCCCTTGTTGTTTTTCTTTCAGCCTTTTCAATCATCTACTTTATCCTTCTTGAGATCAGGGAGGGTTAGGAATAAAACTGCACACAGTTTCAGACGCAGCTCACTGAAGATTTATAGTGGCCTACTGGTGCTTTGTTTAGTTTTCCCATTTCTTCCCTGGTAATTTCTAACAGCCTATTTACCTTTTAGACCACTCTTGAGCAGAGAGCTGACATTTTCATGAGACTATTTATTACAATCTGAAGTCTTGTTCCTCTATGGTCAGAGTCAGCTCCGAGTCAGTTATGTTCAGGCTGCGCATCACTCTATGCACTGAATTTCATTTGTCATCTTGATGCCCAGTCAAGCTTTCTCATAAGGTTCTTCTGCAGTTCTTCACAGTCACCTTTCATCTCTACAATCCTAAGTAATATCAGCAGCAAATTCAAGACTATTCCTCTTCCCGAGTTGTTTATGAATATGTTGATCTCCAGGATATATCCCCCAGAAACATCACTGCTGACCTCCTTCCACTGTGAAAATTTATCATTTATGCCCGCCCTGTATTTCTTATATTTTAACTCCATTTTTGTCCAGGCAAGAATATTCTCTCATATCACAGCTGCTTAGTTTCCTAAAATGGCTTTGGTGAAGGGCTTTGGTCTAAAGGCCCTTTGAACTCCAAATAGGCTGTAGTAGCTGGATCTTCCCTCTCCATCTACTTGTTAAGTCCGTCAGCGAACTGCAGTAGGTTTTATAAGGTTTATAAGGTTTATAAGACAGGGTTTCCTGCCACAAAAGCTATGTTGACTCTTCCCTGGCATGTCACACCTATTCGGACAGCTGGCTCATTATTACATTTGCTAGTAATTTGTTTGGTACAGACCTCTTGTACCTACAGATTTACCAGTTTGTAGTTCTCTGATGTCCTTGCAGCCACTTTTAAAAGTAGTCACATTTGTTACCTTTCAGTCCTCAGGGACCGAGGGAAGTTTGCAGACCACGGTTAGTAGGTCACCTACTCCATCCCTGAGGTCTTTACAGGCCTTGGGTGAATTCAGCTGGGTGTTGCCAGTTTCTCTATGTTCATCTTGTTCATCTTCCATCACTTCAATTTAGACAGATCCTCTCATGAATCCTCCAAAGAAAGTATGCTGTTGTAAAAAACTCCTCCAGTTCTTCCACAGTAATTCAGAAGCAAAAACTCCACTTTTTTTCCCCACTGTGACCCTATCTCCTCTGAATGCTCCTGTGTAACCCTCATGACCTGTAGATCCTACAGAATCTCTCATAGAGTTCTCGCTCCTCGATGTGTTCCTAAAAGCTATTGTTAATCCTCTATGACTTTCCTTGCCTTCTGCTATCTTTGTGTGCATAATCTACATCAACTCTTCTTCTGGAGACACTGTAGCACTTCAAACATTTTCAGTAATCTAATACAAAATAAGGTTGGAGCTTGGCTGGTATACCATTCTTGGTCAGCATTTAATCTCTTGGCCTGGTGGTGGGCATGCAGGCATCCATTATACTCAGAAAGATGACCAGTACCTGAGCATATGACACCACAGTGCAGATGGAGACGGCTACGCATTCCCTACTGCGTTAGTGTTAACAGGAGTGTCAGAGGGTGGGTGGGGGGGCATGCTACAGTCATGAGTCTCCACCCTTATGAACCCATTGCTGTCGTACTGCTAAGGAATGTTGCTGAGCACAAGTTGCAACATGGGGCTAACATTTTCGTTAAAAGACACAGTAAATCTGTGGTTTGCTTAGCAAGTAGTTGAAATACTTCTTAAACCCCTCATCACATTCCTGAGGGTAAACAGTTTCCTGAGTAAAGGAGAAATATCCCTACCAAGTGTCTACATCTACATATTCAAATCGATTTTAATTCTGATCAGCAATAAAAACAACTAGCAAATAGTATTCTCTAGCCTTATTGTACAGCTTCCCATGTCATTAAAATAAAGTATAGCTAACATTCAAAAGTGAAAATGAGAGAGATAACTGGGTTAGAAAGACATTCGCTAGGTGCTTGCATCCTATTGACTTTAAAGAAGAAGATAAGCCTGCTTTCTCCAACCTTGTTATCCTGAAGAGTGAGTGAACTGTCAGAAAATCCTTACGGCTTGTATAAATCCAATACACTGTTTAGACAGGATACAGCAATTTCTCACTGTTTTAACTGCCCCGATCTATTCTGTCTGCAGAACTATATTTATCAGAGGAAGCAAATCCCTCATCTGCTAATATATTTAATTCAGATAATCTGAGAGAAGTTCAATATAGCCAATGAACACGGGAAGCCAAAGGGATAAGAAGGTCTGTTCAGATATTATTTGATTCCTAGGCTTTGGCTATCTCCTTCTGATCTGAGCAGTCCTCTAATACATTCACTAAACTAAATGGAATGATCTTGAAGTAGTAGTAACCTTTCCGGGAGGCAGCGAAAGCTATTTCTGCTGCAAGGTAATTGGCTAGCAGCAACGAAGAATCTCATAGTAAAAGACAAAAAGGTACCTGAAAACTGAAGCAGGCTATGAGGAAAAAGATATTTAAGCAATATTAATTCAGTGTCTTCTCAAATTTGGAAACAAATCTTCAGTTAATGTGTGGTATCTTGAGAAATCTGAGTAATTTTAACAAATTTGTTTTGGATTTAGACTATTAGCTAGTACTCAAAGAAATCTGTAGGTTGTGAATCTTGTTAGGACCATAACAGAAGCTCTGTTGAACTAATCCCAACAGAGAGAATTTGGCCTGTAAAGGCAAATTGAGCATATTCTTCACTAAAGCCCAACTTGAGCAACTCACAAGGCAAGATAAGCAGAGATTCCTCCATTTTAGGTGACTTTAACTGAGGTTTCGGATGATAAGACAGAAGCAGAGAAGGGAAAAGTCTGTTTTACAGACTTTTAAGGCAAATCGCCTTAAACATGACAAACCGATTCTGATTTTTCTTTCCTATTAAAAATCTGTAGATAGGAGATGAATAGCAATTCTCAAGAAGGGTGTCTTACGTCCGGCTCTCCGCAGTCACATTCCTCTCCGTCTTCCACATAGCCATTCCCACACTTCTGTCCACCAAATGACTCCTTGACTTCAGGCAAGTTAAACAGACACATTCCCACTCCTTTTTCCAGGCTGTTTTCCAGGTCCTTTCTACTGCAGCTACTGAATACCATGGGAAATGGATAGCTAGAAGAGAAATACATATAAAAAAAGATGAAGCATTATCAGATGAAAACTTCTCTCTCCTGTCATGCTGGTGACCTTTTAGCCCACCTGTACACAAACAAGAAGGGTAGGTTCATTTTTTTAATCATTTAACACATGAAATTGTGCCAGAAGCATTTATAAAAATTCCTGCCTATTAGTAAGGGAATTTCCATCATTTGCACTTAAATTTGTGGCTGCCGTTCAGGATGGGAACTGTTCACACTTGGAATTATATATGCAAAGATGGGAGAAGCAGTTAGAAAGCAAATTTGATCATGCTCCTAAAGAAATATTGGAATTGTATAGAGGCTTCTGGCATTTACAAGATTGCAAAACATCCTAAGCCTTCCTGGAAAATTTAGCCTCAAATGGCAAATTCATTCATCTTGTTCTGCAGTATGGCAAACATCCTCCTCTTTTTAGGAAAAAAAAACAAAGAGAAGAACACCAAATTACTTGAAAAAAGTTTGCCTAAAAGTTTGCTTCTGCAGTTTATCAAAGTCGAGCTTGGGAACTACATGATTAAAGCAAATACAGTTCTTATTTTAAATCACGATGACTCCCAAAACACTACTGAAAGTACCCATATTTTGAATTCACACTACTGAGAGCAGAGTCTGGCCCCCCTCTGCAGATGCATCTTTGATCTCTTTGGGAAAACACATAGACAACATTAGTAAAATAATCCAGTGTAGTACCAATGTTTCCAGATAATATGTGTTTTTCTTCTGGAGGATTTCATTCCAGGCTCAGTAACGAACCTTTGCCATTTGATTCAAAGAGAGAAGATAAAGTGGGACTTGGATCTGGCCATTAGAACCACTCCAGAAGTGGCTGTGCCCTCTCTGCACTGAGATGTGCACATGATTACATCCGATCTGGATCACAACCAAGTGGTAAAATAACATTCAAGCGGCCTTATTTCCCCTAAGACTTAGGTCCTTACTCATTGCTGATCCATAGCCAAGCAGTAATTCAACATAATGGCAGCACAGGGACTCATCCTGATAGTATCCAGACTTTATTCACTAAATGCTTTGCATCAGTCACGTATTATTAAGAACAGGGCGTAATCTTTATAGATAAACAAAAAAATAGATGGAAGTTCTGCACTGCTGTTATTTCTAACATTCTGAAATGAAATGCTTTGTGCATCTGTAGATGATGATGCCTATAAATATCAGAAATTAATAATTTCTATTAAAAAAAGAAGTGTTTGACAATTATTAATGTAATATAAGTTTACATTCCTATCCTGCCCTGGGGGAATTAATTAGGATCTTGCAGAAAGGTTAGGGGTACCTTACAGAACAGAATTCATTTTGTGCCTACTTAAAATTGCCTTTTTACAGAGTCTCCTGCATTACTACAGCCAGCTCATTGGTAAAGGACATAAACGTGACTCTGAAGAAGAAAATTTTCATCTATCACTACAGGACTTATCTAGTTAAACTGAACAGCTCTGACTGTTCACTGACATATGACTTCAGAAAGTTAGTAGGCATCTTCACTTAAGAAGCTGGTTTCTGGGAAGTGTCAATATTCAGGCAGAATGAGAGTCTAAGATAAATAATCAAATTTTGGAAGAGCATGAGGCAGGAGTCCAGCTGATAGTAGCAGCTCGGGATTCCAAGGGAAGACAGTGAAGGTACTGAGGATAACAGCACAGAAAATAAAGGAACTGGGGAAATCTACTGACTTTTTTATATTGAGTAATTGGAGATGGTCTCAACTGGGTATCACAAACTGGGGACTACTGTCCACGCTTTGTTTGATTGGAAAAAGGACACAAAGCTTTGTGACTATCAACAAGTAGGTGGATGTACTACCCTCAAATACCACCAAAAACTCAAGAATCACAGGTATGTCTGACTGATAAATCCTGCACAAAATATATGACTGCTTGATCAGATATGATCCTCATATCAAAGTGCGAATAAATGAATACTGCCTCATCCTAGCAAGATCCCTCACTTCAGCGACATAGATTTACTTTGATATCCACTAAAAGATGGACACAGGGAGACATATATACCTTACATAGTCTGCAACTGATTCAGGAATACAAATAACGCATTTTTCCCTGTGCCGGATGTCTCTGCCACACAGAGTTCCTCAGAACAGACTAGCGTGCTAGTCAAAACAAACAATAATTTAGGGCTGTTCCTTTTTATCCATGAATGTGCACAATCATGTGCATGAACGTAAGATGTGTACGTCCTTCACGGGCAGAACAGAATCCTTACTCTGTTCGAGGGGTGAAATAATGTCATTGTTAATGAATGAAGTTTCTATTTCCCCTGAAAGGAACTTCAAGCTGTTTCCTATTTTGAAGTAAGACATCCATTCATCTTCTGACTCTTCCTGCTCTTGACGCGATTTCCTCAACTGACATCAGTGCAGCACATGTTATTTGATGAAACTTTCTGAAAACATTTTTTCCTTTACCAAATAAGCTCCAAATAAAGTAATACAAACACTGAGATGAGCCCAATCACCGGAAACAGAGAGCAACTGAAGGGTGACTATGCTCATGCGAGAGAAGATCCCACATCAATTGATACCAGTTGGTATTTCCATTGGAAACTTAATTGATCTTTAATACAATCATTCTTCATTTCTGTGATAAAAACAAACAAACAAAAAATCCCATGTAACACCTATAGCATTTGATCATTGTGATTTTAGGCTACATTTTGGCTGTCTTTGTAATTTTTAAGCTGTTTCATCAGAAGCATGAAATCCCTGGCAGATGGCAAGGGAAGCTGTAACTATCAGAGGTCAGTAGCATTAAGCATACTGTTCAAGTGAATCTGGAGCTTGTGAAAAAAGCTGGAGTAACAGTCACGTGAAAGGAGCTCTGAACAAATAAATTCAGCAAGCGCTGTCCTGCTGTGATGCTTCGAACGTCACCTGGAGACTGCCTTTCAGTGGGAAAAGGTAGTCCAGTTTCCAGAGTAAAGCCAATCCTTGATCTGTCTCTGATATTTCAGTAACATTACTAGACAGAGATCTTGGGCTTTCTGTGGTGCCCCAGGCACTTATCCTGTTGGAATAATTCTGCTACTATCTTCCACAGGCCATTCAAGAATCTTCCAGAGGTAACAATTTCTTTAGCAATCAGTATATACCATAACTCTCCACTCTGGTCATCTGCTTTTACAGATCCTTATTGTTATTGCAGAAGGGACAGAAAGGAAACTTCAGCATCAGCTTAGTCCAGCCTAATTCCTCCTCTAAGATGCTGAGTAGCACACACGTTTTCTACATCCCCGGAATGTGTAAATTGAATGCACAATGGATCATTTTACTGAACCATTTAGGGTGTGGGTACAACTCTACAGAACCCAAATCATGTCTGCTTACTATTGTCTTCAGTGGCTTTACAACAGGGAAATTATTTTAGAGTCTTTCTACCCCTCTTGAATCAACCGCATTTTCCAGTGTATCCTTGGTGCTTAAGTATGTGCATAATTTCAAGCAACAAACATCCTACTTCCCACAAGAAGCAAACTGGCTTTGTCTGCTTCTACAAATGAGAGATTCACAGTAGTAAGATGATGCCTGGTAATTGATTCCTTTAGAAACAGAATCTGGTTTTGTCCCATTCATTTACATTTCAAGCACTAAAGCCATTCAAATGCCAGCTTCCTCTATCTACTTTTGCATTTAGCCTGCATTAGATGGCTCCTTTCATTAGCTAAGTGAAGTGGCATCCTCAAGGGAAGTGTCAAGCCCCTTTTAAAGGGAATTCTTTGCCTGGGCTAGCAGGGCATTGCTCAGTAGAGTCTCTTTTCTGCATGAACTCTGAAAGTGCTGCTCCATCATCTCAATTTCAGAAGTATTTTACCTCCTAAAGGGCTGAAGAACAAGGTGTACAAACACAAAAAAAAAGAGAGAATCACCGCTGCAGAAAATTATGGTCTAAAGAAATCAGACAGCCAAAGCATTCAGGAGAAACAGATGGACGCAGGCTAACAGAGCAGATCAGCTATGGAACCAGGAGCAGATCCTGACTCAGAGGCTGGTGTGTAATCCATTTAGCATTGCTGACTCTCACACTGCTCCAGGTGGGGAATGCCTGGAGGGGACTGACTTGGGATGCAGGAGAGCATAGCTCCATTCCAAAACTTGCCGTTGGATTGCTGTGATACCTTGGGCAAGTCACTTCAGAAAAACAAGGGAATGTCACTTCAAACTACTAGATATCTATCACAGAATCACACAGAATGACAGAATGGTTGAGGTTGGAAGGGACCTCTGGAGATCATCTAGTCCAACCTCCCTGCTCAAGCACGGTCACCTAGAGTACAGTGCCCAGGATGGTGTCTAGACGGCTTTTGAATATCTTCAGGGAAGGAGACTCCACAACCTCTCTGGGCAACCTGTTCCAGTGCTCACAGTAAAGAAATTTTTCCTCAGGTTCAGACAGACCTGCCTGTGTTTCTGTTTGTGCCCATTGCCTCTTGTCCTGTTGCTGGGCACCACGGAGAAGAGTCTGGCCTCATCCTCTTCACATTCTCCCTTCAGATACTTGTACACATTGATCAGATCCCCCCCTCAGTCTGTTCTCCAGGCTGAACAGGCCCAGCTCCCTCAGCCTTTCTTCAGAGGAGAGATGCTCCAGTCCCTTCATCATCTTAGTAGCCCTTCACTGGGCTCGCTCCAGGAGCTCCATGTCTCTCTTGCACTGGGGAGCCCAGAACTGGACACAGTACTCCAGGTGAGGCCTCACCAGGGCTGAGGAGAGGGGCAGGATCACCTCCCTCCACCTGCTGGCAACACTCTGCCTAATGCAGCCCAGGATCCCATTGGCCTTCTTGGCCACAAGGGCACA